AAAAATATTTTTATTAAAATATCCTGTCCCAGTCAGTGATACTAACTGAATTATTTTTATGAAGTTGTTCTAGGCCTATTAAGTGTAGTCCCTCTCCCCTCTCTTTAGCCATACACACAAGGATCAGAGCTCAGGTGTGGGGCAGCAGTATTCCGATGCAAAAAGAGAGAAAAGATTGCTGGTGAAGGCTTTAGATCCCAAGACTTAAAAATCAGTGTCATGACTGTAGTATACAAGGTGTATATTGATTCTTATTTCTGATTTTCCAAGATTTCAGCCTTTGTGGAGAAAGTTCAGTAAGGATTTGTCCTGGACAACGTATTACGTAAACCTCCAATTCCATGTCTCGACACAGTTCTGTTCAGATAAAGTATGCCAGTGCACAGTTACAAAATTTTAGCACCCAGAGCATGTATGTTCGTGACTGGGTAGAAACACGTATATACAGAGCTTTTGTCTTTTCATGTGCTTATGAACTGTACCACAGAAATATCCACAGTATCTGTAGCTTTGGACAAAAATTACTTTTCTTTAAACCCCACTTCAGACTTTTGCAGCCATAATCAAGTAAAGGTTGAACAGCTGACTTGGCAAAAGCATTGCAAAAAGTGAGTTTGTATTTCTGCTTATTTATTTTGTAAGCTGAAAAGGCTTTAATTCTCCCTGAGTTTTCAGTAACTGAGTAGCGTTGAGCAAACTGCACCCAAGGTATTCTTCATGCACAACACATAAGTGTAAGAAAAAAGCACAGTATACGCATTCAGATGGCCAAAATTGCTCAGCTTTCATCCCTCCCCATTACTTCTCTTGACCAAATTCTGCCCATGGCTAGACATAAACAGAAGAGGATGTGGTATAGTCCTCCAGCTCCTGTGCAGTTCTGAACTACCATAAAGGCGATTCCAGTTCCAGTTCCAGACTCAGTAATAATCACCAAAGAAGTATGAGTTTTCTCATGCCAGACCAGGAGCTGCACTTGTCCAGTGTGTATCTAGTATTAGGCTGGACATAATGTCTCATCCTAGTATCTCGTTCTTCTTATTCCTCAGAGCATATAAAAGGTTCAACATAATGCCTGCCTCTGCCAGACTAATCCCAGGCTCCATTCTCCACAGACAATCCTAAAGTTAAAGTTATGAGCAGTTGTTCCAACTAAGGTGAAGTCATTTTATAGACAGAGAAAATTACAGAATGTGTAAAGATATCTGCATATAATGCACTGGAAAATGGTTGCAATGGCTAAACTGGGATGAAATCTTAAATACAAGCTTTGCCTCATAAATTTCTTCACCTAACTTAAATAACATTATACATTTCCCTAGGAACTGCAAAAAAAGAATAGGATGGTGATTTTTTTTCTCTTCAACCAAATGCAGGTTGTCATTTCTTTCTCTCTGACTTCATGAAGAAAAGCTATTTTCCCAACTGTTTTTTTCTCCAAAAGGCCATCATCCCATTTTTCTCTTTTTTCCCCCAAGTAAGACTATAAAACGCAGAGAAAGCCAATGACAGAATAACCTCAAAACTGATCCAGTTCAGGCAAGGATATGCCACAGGAAGTGTTTAGCCCAAATGCCCTCCCTCCGGGGCCTTTTTGCTTTGGGATGACACAGCTATACTGTACAACACCTAACCTAGAGATTCCATACCACTAGTGCTTAGAAGAAAGCCATCTAATCCTGGTAAGTCAGAAGTAAATTAATGAGCTGCTCTAGAATATATTTTGTTTATTTTCAGGTAGGTCAAAAGGTCAAAATTAAATTACTAAGGAGGTATCTGTTTACTGACATACACTTTTATTAGTGTTATTAGTTTAAATTCCTTAGCTCCTGCACTGCTAACTCTCAGAACCAAACTTGAAGTCCAGAAATGAGCTGCAATGCAAGCAGGGAAAAAGGACACACCTGAGTGCTTTAGAAGCAAACAAACAGACCACTTTCTCAAGTGTCTAAAATGCCTGTTTGATTTCTTTCTTTGAAAACAAACATTTACCATTAAAAAAAGCCTTTCCTGTTTTTGCTAAAAGTCTTCTTTGAGGTCACAGAAAACTGGACATAAGACTTCCTCACTCTCACTCTTCCGACAAGATCCTTTATTTCAATGACTGGATCACATAGGCCAAATAAATTTTTAAAACAATTTTTTTCTTTTTTTTTTTTTAGTTAGAACCCTATTTTTTTTAATCTTAATTTTAACCTAGATTTGTATGTTATGACATACAGCACTTTCCATGAGAGCGGTATACAGAAATTCTGGCATTTCAAATAAAAATAGCAATTAAAACCACCTCAGGACTTTATACATTGCAAATAAATATAAAAGGTTCTTTCTTCCTTTAGGGGGTCACTTAATCAAATACATTATACACAAGTAAGGACAGATCTTTAAATGGCAGGTCTTCTTGTGTAAGATGGCTCTAAACATCCATGAGTCAAAATTATAAGAAGAATAGAAAGTACACTCTTCTGCCTTTCTATTTCTCTTTAAGTTATCAATGATGTTATTATTACACAGCTCCAAGAAAGATTAATTAACCAGGTATGAGGAAATCATAATTCCAAGTCTAGAAAAAGGAGAAGCAGCATTGAAAAGTAACCTGCTAAATTGTTTGCTTTTACTTGTAAGCAGTTTAATAAACATTTTATGGAATAAGAACATTAAGAAGGTAAGACAGTGAAGTTAAACCAAGAATTTTGTTCTCACCCAACAAGTTTAGTCACTCTTAATTTTACTGTAAGCTTAACTAAACAATTAATGAACTTTCAGTTTAGCAAAGGAATAAGCAGGCCATTTTCACCCATTTTTTAAGGTTTAGTTCAGCCTGGTGAAATATGACAGCTAAATTTCCACTGACCAGTGAAAGCAGAATAGAGCCTTTGCATATGCTGTTATATTGAAAACAAAGTAACCACTTTTACAATCATGTATTTCAGTGTAGACAGTGTTGATATGTAAAGAATTCTTCCTGCACATTAGAATGGCTAAGGACACACTTGGAAAAAATAACAAGAATTATGCCAAAGACAAGTGTGTCCACTACTGCAAGGAAGGTATGTCAGTGGTCTGACTTCAAATTACATTCGGTGTTACTGTGCCAAAAGTGAAAGACAGGGGAAAAAAGGGTGATGGTAGGGGAAGAGATTCTGCCAAGTATCACAACTTCAGCAACCTTGCAAGTTGGGGCAAAACCTAGTCTTTCTTACATTGAAATACTGATCAACAGTCACAAAAAAGTGGGATTAGGCGCTTTTGTAAAAAATAAAAAACTTTTCAAAAACAGCCAAATGAGATTTTTATTTATGTTACACTGCAAAAGAAACAATAGGACTAGACATTTTGTTTTCTGCATTTGGATAGTTCTAGAGTTGTATTTTGTGTTCTGGCCTGGAGTCTGGCTTTACAAAACTGATTTAATTGACTACTACAGGAACCTTGCTAGATTTACAGAACCATCTGCTGGTAAAAATCAGTGGCTATTTTATGCTTAACAAAACTTAAAATAATCTTTTGTTCCATAGATAGGCATATATTGCACCTAACAGCCTGCATACCATCTCAAAATGTGGGCTGATTGTCACCTTGGTGTTGGTAGAAAAACAGTTGCCTTACCCAATATTCCACAGTTGTGTGAACAAAATGTATTTTAACGTGATTTCTATTCACAGTTCAAGTGAATCATTTCCCTTTTAATTCCCCACCCCCAACTATTCATTTATATACAGATGAGCAAAGCACTTTGATGAAAGTAGGTTCCAGAATAGACTAAAACTCCAGAATTTGCAAGTTTATTTTTGCAGATAGGAATGATATAAAACAAGGAGCCAAAAAGAAAAATAGCCTTTATAACAGATTACATATTTGCTTATTTTAAACATCCTTTGATCATCTCTCCTCCCCCAATCAAAACAACCCCAAAGAACCAGACAAGGATAATATAATTAATGCAATTAATTTAACCCAATCTTAAATAAGAATATGTCCTTGAGAACATGACACTTTGGAAAACATTCTGTGCTAACGTACACCCTATGCAATGCTGCTTCAGACAAGCTGTTGCCCCATGCAAATTAACAGCTTTTTGACCATGATACCATCATGTAGCACCCAAAATATATCACATTTATGTCAATACAGATATTCAGACATGCTTCAGTGACAGCTGCATCTTCAATCAAGAACGCTACACAGCATCTAAACCAATTCTGCCTACTTTATCTACTTTTTCTGTAAAAAATGATTTTCTTTGTCCTGCTGATTCTGAGACACTCAGTCCTCAGAGAATACCATATTTAGAGAGTATTTAGATGTATAATGTTTCATCCTTAAATTAGGTATTTGTCAGCAGTAGTATCTCAGAGTATAACAAATGGGCTTTAATCAGTAAAAATATGAACACAATTAGCACTGAAGGAAATGGGTCACTACTGAATATTGTTCAATAAATACATTCCAGCCCAGTGCCTGTAAGTTCAGTTAGGCTGAGGCCTAGCCATTTTTTCTGGAACAGATTCGTATCACAAAGAAAGGCTAACCTTCTGAAAAAATTACCAAATAATAAGAAAATTTAGTTTGCATTTTATGTGCTTCCCTGACGGACTAACATTAAATCTTCTTCACTTACTAAGTGCAATGACCTATTTCTTCTTTTTGGGGGGAAGGTGGCGGGGCTGAAATTATTGCATACTGTTTTGTCTGCCTGTATTCCTACATGTGTTATGATGTGTATTTTTCATAGTAACCTAAACACTGCTTGTTTCAATTAAATAAGCCTTACTGCACAAAGAGGGATTTCAGATTTTTATTCAAGAAATGCAAGAAAATCAAAGATCCAACATATGGAGGTTTTCAGAGTACATCAGTCATCGTATGGCAAATCCCCATAGCCTCAAAAAGGATGTCTTATAAAGGCCGTATTTATAAATAAGTATTGGGGATGGGGAAAGAAGGTTTCTATTTACACAAAAAATTACTGATTTTTTGCTAAAGCAACTAATTCTTACCATTTTTAGATTCTGTTAAGTCTTGGGATTGCAGTTTCTCTCAAGTAGCACAAGGAGAACAATCTGAAAACAATTTAAAAAAAATAAAAATGAAAAAAAGTCATTCCAACCATCACAATATTTAATAGATTTTTATGGCCAGCATTAATGGTGGGTCAGCCGAGTATAAGCTTCAGTGGCTAAGCTTAAAGTCATGCAAATTATTCTAATCACATGTACACTTATATATCATGCTTCTCTGCACTTCAGTGGTCTGTAGGCTTAAATATAGGACAAAGGAATCCCTGGTACCTGGATTTGCAGAACCCTGTGCTATTCTTAGCACTTGGTAGATCTCTGAAGATCACTATACCTAATGGTTAACACACCTAAAAATCAGTCAAGAGGACAAAAACCGTCACCCTATGCTTACGATAAAGGTGGTCCATTGTTCCCAGGCACAAGAGTAGGTCCTACCTCATTTAAATGGTACCTTAAATTACCACTCTCTTAATTGACTGAATCTGTACCATACCTCCTTTATCAGTTTTCATATAGTGACAAAAATTAAAGTTCTCTTCTATTGATTATGTATTTCTTACCTATAGTGTGTATGTATGAAATGTAATTAGGTATGAGTCATATGTTTACACACAAACACACACACACACATATTGTATTTAAAACTGCAAACTCATATATCTAAAAATGTACACATAAACGTTTGAAAGAAAGCACATCACTAAATGTCCATCAAAATACGTTTGGTTTTGGTTTTTTTTCTCAAAAGAACCACCCAAAATTTAACTGCTGCACATGCAAAAATGCAGAAGGCTGTTGCAAGAATGACTGCTTTCTAAAAATAAACCCTAGCAGCCTGAGAGGAATCCAGTGTCAGGGCGGAGAAGAGGGAGATTCGTTTTACAGAGGAGAAGAAAAGAGACGAAAACCCAATCCTAGAGCCTTGCATGCATGCTAAAAAAGCTAAGTGCATTAGGTTCAAAAATGCATTTTGGTGTTTGTGGAGTGCAGAAGCGAAAAAAAGGAAACAGTTTTAGAAAACCACTTCTCATCTCCCCTTGCATGTGTGCAGCAAAATCCCCAGCCTAGAAATCTAGCCTTAAAGCATAAAGACAAAGAGTTAAATACATCTACTGCACGTTTTCTCATCTTCTTTAAGAAAGCCTGTTTGGAAATGTGCACCGAGAGTGGGAAAGGCAAGCTGCAGCAAAGTCCAGCTAAGGACAAAAGGAAATGAAAAGAAAAAGAGAGAGAGAGAGAGAGAGACAGAGAGAGAGACAGAGAGAGAGAGGATTAATTAAAAAAAAAAATAAAATTCTGTGGATTGGAATTGCATATACTTACAGACAAAAGCCCCCGCTCCCTGCTCACTTTCTGTCCTTTCTACATGATCTGAAACACAAATGTGGATTAAAAAAGGGCAGCATGCTACAGAAGGGAATTTATAGTTGGGGGAGTGGAGAGAGGGTAGGGGGTGTGGGGAAGAATGACTGCACCTCTTCCAAAGTGCAGCCTTGGAGAAAAAAGAAAAAGGGGTGGGGGTGGCTGGGGGAAAGTCTCTCTCTCTCCCTCTCTCTCAGGCTGGGTTTTGGTTGCCAGTGCTGGTTATATTGAACAATGAGCTAATTCTGATGGTAGCTGGCTGGCTGCCAGCTCTCCCCCATCCCCTCCCGTCCCCTCCTTACACATACACACTCCCCCTGCCTGCCCGCCCG